TCGGAGTGCAGCCTGCCTCCTTCCAGCTCAAACAACCATGCAGCACACCACAGGAAAAGAAAGTTAGTCATTCAGAACACCAGGCCCACTGTCCTGTCCTTACACTAACCCTACACCCTCTGTGCCGTGTGCGTGTGTGTGTGTGTGTGTGTGTGTGTGTGTGTGAGGGCTGTCCCGAATACCATTTTTCGGGCTCTGGATATTCGGTAGTAATCAGCAGCGAATATTCGAATGTTCGGCCCGCGCGGAGGGGCAGCGATCAGCAGCAAGGCAAGTTTATTTATATAGCACTTTTCAACACAAGGCAATTCAAAGTGCTTTACAAAAAATGAAAGACATTAAGAAAATGGCATTTAAAATCAGTCATTAAAAAGTTACAGTGCAGTCTAAGATATGAATAGTTCAATTAAAAGCAGCGGCAAAAAGAAAAGTCTTCAGCCTGGATTTAAAAGTAGTCAGAGTTGCAGCGGACCTGCAGGTTTCTGGGAGTTTGTTCCAGATATTTGGAGCATAATAACTGAACGCTGCTTCTCCATGTTTAGTTCTGACTCTGGGGACAGAAAGCTGACCAGTCCCTGAAGACCTGAGATATCTGGATGGTTCATCATTTAGCAGGAGGTCAGAAATGTATTTTGGGCCTAAACCGTAGTAGCGAACCGCTTCAACGCGTGTATTTTGGTGTATTCACGGCATTCATTTTGTTATTCTACAGTATTGTTGTTTTATAGTTATTAACCTAATTTGTGTTCTTTGAAATTGAAAAGGATATCGCATTGTGTTTGCTACTTTCGTTGCAGTTGTATATGTCTTAAGTGTAATTTTGCTTGGCTTCCTATTTATGGAAGGAGAGGTAGCGCAGTTGACAGGAAGTTGTTGTTGCTTTGGAAACAACGTGACGGAGATTAACGGAGAAAAGTAATATCTACATATAAAGACGGAGAAAGTAAACGATAACGTTTATGGTTAAGTGTTAGCACCCCCCGATCAAGCTCTTACGTTGATATTGGAGATTTCAATAAATACAATTTGAGAAAAAAAATGGGAAAAAAACGAAAAACAAACAAAACGAATATCCGAATAGCGAAATTGAAACCCGAATAGTACTCCAACGAACTAATATTCGGGTACAGCCCTAGTGTGTGTGTGTGTGTGTGTGTGTGTGTGTGTGTGTGTGTGTGTGTGTGTGTGTGTGTGTGTGTGTTGTCCTTCAGACAGCTCTCTGCTCCACGTCCTCTCAACTTGATCTGATGTTGTCCCTCTTGGGATTGTCTCAAAATAAGTTTTGTTCTCCTTAAGAGGGGGAGGAGAAACAGGAAGTTACATTCCCTAATAACGAAAACTGAAATGCTGAAGGCTACCAATTACTATTGTCAAAGATCACAGGAGAAAACTAGCATTTAAACTTTCTTTCCTTCAAAAACAAAGTCACAGTCAAATCTATCATTTGGTCGTGACTATTACGGAAAGCATGTCACTTGTTGATTTTGGATATGGTCTGAATTAAAATAGCTCAGTTTTGCAAATGACCAAATGACTCAAGGTAACTCAATTTAATAATAAAATGAAAAACTATGAGAAAAATCAATCCTGTGAGGGTACCCCGCCGCTCTTTCAGTGAGATGGTGACACCTTTGACTATGATTGCCTCTCAATTCACAAATAAAGCCGCAACACTCGCTGGGTCCCAAAACAAGGCGGCCTCTCAGCCGTTCAGAGAAGTAGGTCACTGAGGATTCCTTTCATTTGTACAGCGCTTTCCAAATAGTTGTGCTTTTCTACTCAGCCCAAGACTTCCAGCCGCATGTTTAACCCTTTAACAGCCTGCAGGTCTGCACCAGCAACAATATCCACTATATTCATTAGTTTACTCATATTTCTGCTTATTGGGCTCATGGTCTGGGAAACGGTTTGTTGACTTACATTGCCAATATTGTGTTTTTTTAAATTGATAGAAATATAGGTCGTTTGTGTTTTATTCCTATTCTTGTGTAACATTTAAAAGAAATAAACAATGAGATGTAACACTTCGAGGACAGCAGCTTTTTACAGAAAAGTTAAGCCTTTAGTTTTAAGTAATATTTCCATGTCAACTTACAATACATTTCCACAAAGCTCTTTAGAAATGTATGAAGAAAGACTAACAGCACAGTAACACATGCACAAACACTCACTATTGGCTTTGGCTGTAAATACTCCTTGTATAGCTGTGGTAAGAAATGACTTCAAACTGAAAAATACTCCATAATCAATACAAGATCAGTATCGGCCCAGTTAAACAGCAGACCAATGTATCTGCCAGACCTTAGAACACCAGTGACCACAACATACCAGAGGGATCACGTAACCAGACAACGTTCTCCATCTCCCTCTTTTCAGCCGCATGTAATAATAATAATAATAATACATTTGATTTCTATAGCGCTTTTCTTGAACCCAAAGACGCTTTACATTTGGGAGGGAGGGTAGAGGGAGGGTGTCCTGACGTTAAGTCTACAGCGCTGATTCTGTCTCACTTGCTGAATCAGCGGACGGGACGCGACCACAAGCTGACACAGGTGGGCAAAAACTCAAGGGCGTGGCATAGCATTTACTCTGGAGGTACCGACGGCAGAAGTCCATTGAAATCTCTTTAAGCATGATTTCATAGAGAGAGAGCGTGTGGCACAGAATATTGGTACTGAGGTTTCACCGCCGTAATTAATTAAAATAAGGAGAATACGAATCTGCATGATATAAAAGTATCTTTGCGGCGGAAACGTTTTTTTTACAAGTATAACTTGTAACTTCATCTTGACACTATCGTTGCTTTCTTTACATTGAAAAGGTTTAACAAGATATTAAGAAACACAGCTACACTGTATGCAATGACTCAATTAAATGAACACCATTTTCTTAATTTTTGGAAGTACGAAGCTTCAAACAAAACTGACTATATGATGGCTCTACGTTTTGCTACTCCACTGCACTGTGTTGCTTGTGTGTAACTGCATCAGGTATAGGAATAGGTGATTGGACAAAAGGTTTAACCCGTTTCCCCAAATGGAAAGGAAATCCAGTGAGGTCTTGGTTGTGCTTACTGTGGTTATGACCCTTCCTGATTGGAGCAGATTGAGTAAGAAATTGTAATACTAATATTTGTGTAATTGTAGCCAGTGACTGCCATGACAAGGTTACCTCACACTGTAAATCCCTGACCTGATGACACACAGAAAGCAGGCGGTCATCATCGGTCTGTCCAGAGGCACACAGCCTGGACACTGAAGTCTTCAGGGATCTAATCAGGTCATTATGTGTGGTGAAATCCTTCCTACTGCGTCGGGTTATTCGTGATGTATAGTTAAACAAATATAACACAAGCAGTTAGAAAAGAATAACACAAGCCCTAATCCTGAACCATCTTGTTTATGACACTGAATCTACTGACAATTCACCTATAGATATTTGTTTGGGAATAATCTCTCTTCAGCAAAACATGATTTGTAGTAAAGGACGATAGGTGTCAACGTTTACAAACGTGCAATTATGAAAGGGAATATAATCCATCACTTAAAATACAATTATGTCACTGAATGTGCTGAGTAAAGAGCAAAAACAAACAAGCATTATTAAGGCCTTATAACAAAAGTTGTTGCATACATGTTTGCTAATGTGTTCATATTTCTTTATACTGTGTATACTATACATTTAACTTTAATAAAAACAAGCATCCAAGTGTCAAAATAAGTATTATCAGGGTCAATTGAAACTAAATGATTGACATGTTCAAGGTCAATGTAAAAATATACAGTGATGAGGGTTTCAGGTCTTCCTGCCCATGACTATACAATGCAGCAATACCCATAAATATCCAACCTGTTGTAAAACTAACCAAATACCAAACACATGCTTCAAATGACATTTGTTTTTAACGCACATACTTTTATAGGCAAACAACTAAGATATACAAGAGTGATTTATGACTGTGACTCAACACAAAGATCACAGGCAAATGTATGTCTCTTTGCCTCACACATGATGCACTGTATACTTTGATCTCTCCGACAGTATGAACCAGCCTGACTTTGGGAGGGGTCGACTGAGAAGAAGAACTTCATGTTGTGTGCTTTGATGTATCCGGCTTCATATATGAAACAATAACAAAGACCGGCCTGCATTAAGTGCAGCCACTGCCCATTGTAAACCCTGATGGAAACTCTGTGTAATATGTGCGAGTGTCACTGCGAGGCTGGGCCATTATGTCACCCTCAGTGTGAGCCAGCAGATGTGTTACTGCATGCAGATGTTGCCATAGGTACGCACAGACGCCTGCTCTCCATCGCAACAGCTTTTCTTTCAATTTTTCATGAGCCCAGTTGGTTGCCAGGGTTTTTGTTTCCATGGCCACGCTGCAGTCTAATGCAACAAATCCCAGCCAGAGCCCCCCTTGGGTGCCTTGGCGTGATACCAACCTAGAGAGCTACAGTGCTATAGGCTGGCACACTGACTGACTGACTGACAGTGATTCAGCTAGTCACCAGTGTTGTAGACAGTCATCCGGGATAGTATGGCCTTCAAAGCCCTTTGCATTCATAAATGTTTGGTCAAAAAGTAATAAGAGTTCTAAAAATGTGTCTCTTTTCACTCTTTCTTATCAGAAAATGAATGTCGTCTGTACCAGGAGTGTGACATCAACTACAACATGAACAATGAATAAAGAAAAAGATCAACTACAAAAGTAAAGGAGATATAGTGATTGGAGACCAAAGGGGGAAAGTTGCTATATTCTCATCTGTCCCGGCTGTCAGAAATACGTTTAAAAACAATCTTAGAATAGTTTATTTGCCAATGTAGATGTATTATATTATAGTCCCTACCCTATTAATAAGACAAATATAAGGATATCAATTCAGTCTGAGGAATGAATGAATACATCTGCTCTGTCAATGCCTGTAAATGCATCTCCATCATATCCTAGTGGATGATGTAGCAGCTGACGGTGTCTAAGCAGATGGTTGTCCTACCTGGGTTGTTGGCCTCTGCCTCCAGGACCTGCAGTTCAGTGCACTCGGCGAGGGAGTGCTCCAGACAGAGCTGCAGGAAGCGGGCCTGGGTCCGGCTCACCCTCTTCAGCAGGGACAGCAGAGCCACTGTCTGCTCGCACTCATTCCACCCTTTGAACCAGCTGGCTAGCACGCCCACCTGATCGCGAAACATCATGGTCTGCCGGGCGGGGAAAAGGCCGGATGACTTTGGTGGTTAGGAGGAACGACCTTACCCAAACTTTACACTGATGTTTTGTAGTAACAGTGACGTAGAATGATGGCAGTCTTATCAGCTGATTCTTGATGTTTCTATACACAGGGAGTCAGTTCAGCTGAAGCACTGTGATGCCATACTAAAGCTTTGTTGGCGGCTAGGACAGCAGTCACTGTTATGCTTTCTGGTGCTCAAATATGTTTCAACCGGTGTTGGATATATTCCTGCTGGAGGGGGTTTCTGCAACGTCTTCTCCTCTCTGATAATCTCCGCTGGTGGTAGGGGAGTATGTGTGTGAAGATCTCTTCTAGCTAGGCATTAGGAGATATGAGCTGCACTGCTGCTTAGTAGCTCCCAGAGGGATTGATATTTGATGAGTCAGCTTTCTTCCAGCACAAGCTGTGTCACATCAGCTTCAGCCTCGCTGGCATTTTTCTTCAGGGAATCCCTCTTAAGCCTGCAGGAGGATGTTGGAAGTTAGTGGAGGATTGAAAAAAAAAAAATTGAACAGAAAATGCTCTCTTATAGCTCCTTGTACATGCTTCTCCCTCTCTTTCTACACATGCTATGACTTTTACAGTGCACTAGAGAAGACAGCCTCACTAGAAATGCGACAGTGTCCCTGTTGCTTCAGCTCTGCAGACTTTGTGCAACTGGAATAGGAAAAAACAGCCTTCAAAAACTCGTACAGCATTTATAGGTCGCCTCCTCGCCATCGCCTTACGCATAGGCTTGTGGCATTCACCGCCGAGACAAAAATAAATAATTTTCGTTTTTGGTATCCACCCATTCCTAAAAATACAGCTGTCGGTACTACTGGCGCTGCATCCCGGAATTTTCCGAGGGAAGGACGCCGGGTTACCGACGGTGGCCGGTGGCAGAGCTTTTTCTGCTGTAGAGACGTAAGCGGCAACTTCCCTCCGTTATTTTAATGACAGGTTAGTCTCATAAAGACGTGTTTCAGACCGAGGGCTGGCGGTAGTGGTGAGTTTATGCCAGAAGAGAAGAAACATCGAAGAGAAAGCTAGGAGCAGACTGAGCGTTAGCCGCTGTCTAAAACTGTCACTTTGCTTCATCAGCACACAAGAACGACCGTTGGCGGAGATGTGTGTGTGAGCAGTTTGTAAAAATACCGAATATCCCCCTATCCGTTTGTGTACCAAGCTTTGTCCCATGGAAGAACCGTGTAACTTTAACATAAGTTAACGTAAGCAAAGTTATATATTTACAAACACTAAAATAAACGGCTACGAAATAACATTAGCCATTGCCACTAACTCAAACGAGAAAAGGTGTTCCCACAAAGTCTGGTTCTGATAGATAGCAAGGGTTACGTGCGTTAGTATTTTCTTGAATAAATACTGGAGCCGAAAAGAAGAGTGAACAAAACAAAGTCTTTTTTTTAGAAACTTCAACTTGAATATTTGAGTTTTGGTGAAAACGGTTAACCGAGCTCTATGGTCCTTACCTCCTGCAGCAGTTCGCATTGTTGGGGGCGACAGGCTCAGCTTTTTTCGGGGAGCGGTGCCCCTTCACTCCGGGTCTGTGAGGTTTGCCATCTTGACTAACTTTTCCTCTGTCTCTCCCCAGCAGACGGGCTGCTCTGCTCGGCTGCTCTGGTGTAAAGCACCACTGTCAGATGGAAGGCAGCCGTTCATGACTTCCGGTTAAAGCTTTCAAAATAAAGTACTGCAGTGCGACGAAGATTAACAATTTTCTACAGTAAATATTAATTTTACTTAATTGAGAGCAACTGCTACCACCATGTTCTTTTGTTTTCGTTGCGTATATTATCCATTAGGACTTATAATTGTATGTTTACTCCTCCCATTTGATTAGGCTGCAGTAGTTTTTTAAAGGTAACAACATAATTCTGTTTATTCCTTAAGAACATTGTGTGAAAAGAGTGCACATATGTAGAGAGGCCAATAAATTAGGCCAAATACATAGAAATAGGTTTAACCGTACGGTGTGGTTATTACTAAGCTTCGTATATTGGGTAGCCTACTGATCAATAACAAAACAGAATTATTTAAAGGTGTTCTCACCTTGACAGTGCTCACTTTAAGTATTTCTTAAAAATATATAAGACTTGAGAAAAAACACGTTTTTCACAGTGTACCATACAAAAACAAAAGGAATACATAGTCAACAATGTTGGAAAAATAAACCCAATTTTTTGTATTATATTTATTTTCTTCTTGTGATTATTACCACAAAATATTGTCAATAAATATTCCTATAAAATGAAGCTGCTCACAGCATTATGTGAAGCAATATGAATTAAAATGACCTCCAAATTTGCCTGTAGCAACATTAATATATACATAATATACATCCACAAATATAATGTATTAATATATAATATGCGATACAAACATTAATCTGTGAATGATAATAATTCAATATTACAATATACCGTACATTGTTCTTACATGGACCCTCCTGCATAAAGAGTATGTTCAATGTTGGTACTCTTTTACTAGGCAAGGCAAGTTTATTTATATAGCACCTTTCAACACAAGGCAATTCAAAGTGCTTTACAAAAAATGAAAGACATTAAGAAAATCGCATTTAAAATCAGTCATTAAAAAGAAAAGATAATAAAATAAACATTAAAAGAAAAAATACATGGATAAAAGTTACAGTGCAGTTTAAGATTAAAAGCAGCGGCAAAAAGAAAAGTCTTTAGTCTGGATTTAAAAGTAGTCAGAGTTGCAGCGGACCTGCAGGTTTCTGGGAGTTTGTTCCAGATATTTGGAGCATAATAACTGAACGCTGCTTTTCCATGTTTAGTTCTGACTCTGGGGACAGAAAGCTGACCAGTCCCTGAAGACCTGAGAGATCTGGATGGTTCATAATTTAGCAAAAGGTCAGAAATGTATTTTGGGCCTAAACCATTCAGTGCATTATAAACCAGCAGCAGTATTTTGAAATCTATTCTTTGACACACAGGAAGCCAGTGTAAAGACTTCAGAACAGGAGTGATGTGATCCACTTTCTTAGTGTTAGTGAGGACTCGAGCAGCAGCGTTCTGAATCAGCTGCAGCTTTCTAATATATTTTTTAGTGAAACCTGTAAAGACACCATTACAGTAGTCCAGTCTACTGAAGATAAAAGCATAGACAAGTTTTTCCAAATCCTGCTGTGACATTAGTCTTTTAATCCTAGATATATTCTTTAGGTGATAGTAGGCTGATTTAGTAACTGTTTTAATGTGACTGTTGAAACTCAGGTCAGAGTCCATGACTACACCTAGATTTCTGGCTCTATCTGTTGTTTTGAACATTGCAGACTGAAGCTCAGCGCTAACTTTGATACGTTCTGCCTTGGCTCCAAAAATCATTACCTCAGTTTTATCTTTGTTTAATTGGAGAAAGTTCTGACACAACAAGTCATTGATTTGTTCAATGCACTTACTCAGTGTTTGAATTGGAGCATAGTCTCCTGGTGAAATTGTTACGTAAATGTGTGTGTCATCCGCATAGCTATGGTAACTTATTTTGTTGTTTTTCATTATCTGAGCCAGTGGTAGCATGTAGATGTTAAAGAGAAGAGGCCCCAATATGGAGCCTTGAGGAACCCCACATGTCATATTTGTCAACTCAGATGTGTATTTACCATAGACTGTATATATAAAGGTATTTACCTATAGAAACAAAGTGTTTTCTGTCCTTTTAAGTAGGATTCAAACCAATTTAGAACTGTTTCCGAAAGTCACACCCAGTTTTCTAGTCGGTCTAGTAATATGTTGTGGTCAACAGTAAGCTTTACTATTTGTGTACCTTGATATAAATAACATTTTGAAAGCAGGACTTTTATTTGTACCAAATATTTCTAAAGTTGCATAAAATCTAGGAACTTCTTGCACTAACGCACTTGATCTTAAACTAACTTTTCTGGTGTTTGTAAATTGCCACGGGAAATTATTTTGAAGGCAGGATCAGTCAACTTCCGGCTGCGTTTTGGCAGCCTTGATGCAGGGAGGCTCGCGCTGCTCGTTTCCACATGCTAATCATTAACAGCGGAGCATTACGTCAGGGGCTTGGCAGCACCAAGAGAGAGAGAGAGAGAGTTTATACTTTAAGTATACATATAGCATTTTGCATTACTTTTACTTGAAACAGAGTTTATTTTTACTACATTGTTTTGCTATTTGTACCTAAGTCAAAGGTGTGAAGATACTTCTTCCACCACAGTTCAATACAAATAGCAATCAAATCGTATTTATGTGAAAGTAGGCTATGTAATAGGGCACATGCAACATGGGCACAATTGTCTTTAGGTAAGAAAGTATTCATTGTGCAGTAAAACATTTCCTGACAGTGTGTATGTATATATATATATATATATATATATATATATATATATATATATACACACACACGCACGTATATGCGGTTTTTTGATTAATAGTACAGCTGTATTTATTTTTGGGTTGTTTCATACAGCAATGCAACATATTCCTCCACCGTGTGGTTGGAGTGTGGTATTACAATTTAGAGACGTCACCAATTTTAAACTAAACTGCACGTAAACACAAAAAAGCCCATTAAAAACACAGGAAAAAACGATATTAAGTTAAGTTATTAGCACGTGTGTTACCTTTGTATTTATTTTTCTTATTTTATTAATTAAATCACATCCTGCCTTGATATAATGTCATAGATCAGCTTGGAAAATAGGTTTCAATTGTTCTAAACAATTGTATATTATCAAATTAAGAATATATTTGTGGCTGTGTTTTTTGCTATAGGCCTACATAGCAATACGCACGGGTGCGTATTATATTAAAGTGTAATATAGTAAATGGAAAAAGTGGGCTATTTATTTTTGGACATATAAGGTTTCAGTCGGATTGTTTTGTGAGCGAACAGGAAGAATATTCACTTCCAGTTTAAAAATAAAAGAGCCTAGAGACGATTTGTGTGCAACATGTGTCTAAATGCGATCACACTGGGAATAACGCTGCCGATCATCCTGTCACGTATTACACGTAGCGGGGAGGAAATTAAGAAATACCAGGAAGCAAAAACTTGACATCAGATCGCCTCCTCCTCCTCCTCCTCCTCCTCCTCCTCCTCCTCCTCCTCCTCCTCCTCCTCCTCCTCCTCCTCCTCCTCCTCCCAGGGTCTCCAGTTAAACTACAGAATTGCAGCTTTCCACACACAGACAGACAGGGTGGTGTAGATTGAGGCGGAGGTCGTCATGAAGCTGGTGGTCCTCGTGCTCCTCCTCCAGGTGTCCGGATGTGCAGACAGCAGGTGCTTCTGTCAGGTGAGAGCTGTCACACAGAGTATCCTGCATGCTACAAGTAGCCTAATGTTATTTTACACTCTTCAACAGAAGTGGAAGAAGTACTACGATATTTTACTAAAGTAATAGTAGTAATACCACAGTGTAGAAATACTCTGTTACAAGTGAAACCCTGCATTCATTTAGTTACTTATCCAAAAGGACAAAAGTGTAAGCAATGCTTAATAACCAAAACAAAAAAACTCACTAGGCACAAAGGGTATTTTCTCGGGATAATACATTTAATTATATTTATGGATTATACACTGAAAAAATTGAAAGGTTGATTTAATTAAAGTGATCATGTCAACACATTTCACATCACTATATTTGGTTTCCTTGAAATCAATAATATTATGTTTAAATAAAAATGATCAGGTTCAACTTAATATTTTTGCTTTCAATTAACCTGATACAATTATGTAAAATTTGTATACATAAAACATTTAAGTCAACGTTTCCGTATTTTCAGTGTAATAAGAAATGCATTTGTTAATCATTGTATTGTGTCAGATTTTCCAGCTGCCACAAGTATATGATTTAAAAATGAGTCATTCATTGGTATTGCGGTGCTGCTATTATTCAAGTAGAAGATCTCAGTAGCAGCTGTATGCTGAGCATTGAGGTGGAGACATGATTTAAAAAAAAAGCTTAGTAAAACAAATCTTACTGTAAGCAGCAAGAAACAAAATAAAGAAAACTTAGTTTGGTTTTTGTTTTCATCCAACGAAGCTCACAGGAGATCTGGACGACTGTACTTGTGATGTGGAGACCATCGACGGCTTTAACAACAACCAGCTCTTCTCCAAATTTCAAACTCTTCTGGAGTCCGACTATTTCAGGTTCTACAAGGTAAGGCGACCTGACACACACACACACACACACACACACACACACACACACACACACACACACACACACACACACACACACACACACACACACACACACACACACACACACACATGCCCACGGTCACACACACATACAGTACACAGATTAACCTGTGTGTTGCTTCGTCCTGGGACACTGCAGGTGAACCTGAACAAGGCGTGTCCGTTCTGGTCGTCCAGCAGTCACTGTGGTCTGAAGGACTGCGCTGTGAAGCCCTGCTCTCCTGTGAGTCCCACCCTCATCACTCCTACCTGCTGTAAACAAAACACTCACCTGTGTTTACATCAGATTCACTAACATGTGTGTGTGTCCACAGAACGCAGTGCCAGAGGGGATCAGATCACACAACAAGGTGAGTCAGTCAGGACCAGCTTTGTCTCCGTCAGCAGAGCAGCCCACAGTAAAAACCTTTTTGAAAAAGATCATCATTAAACATATTTGATGAAAAACATTTCTCTATAGTGCACATTAGCACCCCTACATTTCCAAATCGTGAAACTGATTTATAGAATTGAAAGAATAACTACTTTGGAGGGTATTTTAACCCATTTTGGGATAATAACACCAAATACTGGCGTTACTATCAAAATGAATGCATTTGTTCAAAGATGTTGCATTATAACATAATAATGTTGGTATTATAATTACTTACCAACTGGGCTATAACAATTGCTATATATCTTGAGGTCTTTTAACATTTATTTGGGATATGAAGAAAAAACACATTTTTATGAATTTAATTTGGTTATTAAAATGAGTAACTAATTATGGTTACTTCTTGGATTAAGAAAATTGCTGCATCCTACCCAAACAGTACACTTAAACACATTTAATTATAACATACTTTTTAAAATGTAATACCATCTATTGTTTTTGTTTTCAGTATTCAACAGAAGAAAAGGAGCAGCCGGTAAAGTGTGAGCAGGCGGAGAACCTCGGAGCTATAGATATTTCTTTAAGGTGAGTAGAGATAATATCAGATTACCGGGCAAACATTAACGTTAATACACACAATAATACTTTAAAAGTGCAGGCTCATATGAAATATTTCTGTAATATAATATAATAGAAAGTTGAACCGACATACTTGTCTGTTTTCACCTCCAGTAAGGAGACCAGAGAAGCTCTGCTAAACTGGAGCAAACACGACGACGAGGCAGAGCGCTTCTGCGTTGTCGATGGTATGTTTTCAACCCGTCCGCTGAGCAAACGACTGAATGAACTAACAAAAACTAAAACATAATCAATTCTTGTCTTTGATTGAGTACACTAAACACAAGATCCCATAGTATAGTAAACCACAAATGAAAAACACACAACTGCTGATATGGCATTTGCCTTTCAGGTTTATAAACAGAAGATTTCTCCACCTTGTGTCTTTTAATTAGGATCAAAAAACGAAATGGTTCTGGTAAGATACAAAATAAAAACAATTTAGGGAATATTAAGGTAAAACTAACTAAAATAATGTAAATACTTGAAAATATAAATGTAGAAAGTAGATCATTAATGAGAAATCTGATTTCAAAAATGCATACTTTTAAAAAAAACTTTTCCATAGGAAACATAATGATGATGAAATACATACTTTTTGAAATATAAATGGAATGATTACTTATGAATGTGAATGAGAAATTGAGCTTAGAGAAGAACAGTTTTTAAAACCTAGCATAAGGAATTATAAGCATATATAACTCCAACAAATGTATAATTAGTAGGAAATGTAATGAAACACAAATTATTTATATATACAGTACATTTCTCAACGCCCAACCTTCCTGGGTCATCATAGCGCTAAATAGGGTCTCCTAGTGTGAAAATCCTCCAACACCATTGACTTTAGCTTTCTACTGTTGGTACACACTTGATAAAGAGAGGTAGTCATAGTGATTAACAGCAGACTGTGTGTTGTTCTTCTCCAGACGAGGAGTCTCCAGACTCTCAGTATGTGGACCTGCTGCTGAACCCTGAGCGCTTCACAGGCTACAGAGGACCGGAGGCCTGGCAGATCTGGAACAGCATCTATGAGGAGAACTGTTTCAAGTAAACACTCACACTATAGAACAAAAACAGATCTTCCGATGTGTTGATTCCCATTGTTTAAGATAAACTGAAGGAAGAATTGTTCCTTTACTGTATGTGCTGAAAAGATTTGTTCTATTTCTTCAGCTAAGTAAACTGTTTAAACCCCTTTTGGGTCAGCTGGAAACTGCAGCGTTACAAAACTGAAAACAGGGCTGTCAAGCAATTGAAATAAATGAAAAGTTGACTTTTAAGAGATGCATGATTCCGACATGACAGCGACCAAGCTACAAAGATATGAGGCATTTATGAAGATGAAATCCCCTTCAGTAAAAAAGTGATATAAAATAAGCATAACCTTAAACATCTACAACAGGAGAATACTACCTGCAGTCTGAGAAGCATGAATAATAGTAAATGAATGACAAGGAACATTTTCCTGCACAATGAATACTTTTACTTATCCTACTCTCAAGTAAATATTGCTGATAATGCATACTTTCACATAAGAAGGCTTTGAATCGTATTTGCATTGAGTGCAGTGTTGGTACTTTTACTGAAGTAAACAATCTGAATACTTCCGCCACAGCTATAGCATGGCTAAATAGCAAGTTTGAATGTGATCAAAAACAGCATAACTCACCATACTTTGTGCGTGTACTACTTCTTAAATACTGGAGTTCATAGTTTTCTCCCTTTACTTTTTCTCACAGGCCGTATACGATCAAGCGACCGGTCCTTTCCAGCCTCTTCCATAGCAGCCCAGGAAGTGAATGTAAGAGCTCCTAACTCTAAATTCAAACCAACCTTTTACTTCACTTGTGTATGACAACAACATTTTGTTTCTCTATTTACAGCAAATACTTTCTACAGCTGGCTGGAAGGTGAGCTGACATTTCACCTGAAAAGAGAAAAGAGGTTTTTTTGTCCATTTCTATTTGTCAACTCTTTGTTTGTGTCCCTCAGGTCAGTGTGTAGAGAAGATGGCTTTCTACCGGCTCATCTCTGGCCTCCATTCCAGTATCAACATACACCTGAGTGCCAGATACCTCTTAGAAGGTGAGACACATTAGCACTTTCACAAACCCTCACTGATTCACTCAGTCATTCATTGTCCTCCTAAGTCAAGTGCAGCACAGGAAGACAGAAAGAGTGTATGTATTTTATACTGTTATTTCTTTGAGAATGACAGAATGATCTTGATAAATATGAATAACGATGCAGTTAAGAGCTACAGTATTTCCCCAGCCGTGAATCCTAACCACCTCTCTCTGATTCTTCCTTCCTTCAGACAGCTGGTTTCAGAAGAAGTGGGGTCACAACGTGTCGAGTTCAGGCAGCGCTTTGATTCGGAGCTGACAGACGGCGAGGGCCCCAAGAGGCTCCGCAACCTCTACTTCCTGTTCCTGATCGAGCTGCGAGCGCTGGCCAAAACTCTGCCCTTCTTCTAGCAGCCGTCCTTCAGGATGTTCACTGGCAGGCCGGAGGAGGACCGCAGACACAAGGAGCTGCTGCTGCACATCCTGCAGCTGGCCCGGTCAGTCTGAGCACTGACTCCAGATCTGTGCCTGTGTCTCTGGAATATATATATCGTTTCTACATATTTTACGTAGGAAGAGCTTTATAGAAATATGTTTTCATTGTTTATTTAAAGGTGTGTTGTTTACATTTCACTAAAAGCACATCCAACTTCTTTCTTCATGTTTGGTAAGATAATCCTTTTTTAAATACCAGACAGGAAACCTATATACAAAAAGAAGTAAGCTTAACCTAACTTAAGTAAACTAAGGAGAGATACATTTCATTAAAGACTAAATTAAACAGTGAAAGAGTAGTTATTTCTCTCTACTTGGTAAGTCGTCTTTACTTAAAGTTAAGTTAAGTTCATTTTAAAAAAAAAAATGTAATTAGCAAGTACTGGTGCGAGGAACTTATAATGATGTCCAATGACACTTCAATTCTCATGTGTATAGTTTCTGGGGTTGTCATATTTGTGTACAACTCGATTGTTTATTCTTTAAATGTCTTTCCCCAGATCTTTCCCTCTTGCCTTTGATGAGACGTCTCTGTTTGCTGGGGATGAAAAGGAAGCAGCCAAACTAAAGGTACAGTAAGGAACCATTTAACATTCTAGATAGTTCATTTAGAAATAAAGTAATCTAAACTTTGATTACTTATTCAAAGGGGAAAATTACTGCATTTATAAAGCAACAATAATTTCCAGATTTTATGACATGGCAAAACAGTTTAAAGCTGTTTCGGCTGTGTGTACAAAAGGCAGCAGTCTCTATCTGAGATGTGCTGGGTGCAGGGTGCAGGGCGTGTGGCACTCTCAACTCTTTCCAGGACAAGCTGGGCCCTGCCTGCCAGTAGCTCTGCCGATATCTTTGTTGATAGGTCATAGATTAGAACGGTGAATCAGCTAAGAAAGAGAAAGCGCTCGACCATTTGCGTTAATTTAGCAAATGTAATAGTGATTCCACGTCAGCCACAGCTTGTCGCAAAAAAAATTGACAGATAGTGTTTTTAACAAACTTAACCTAGCTTTATTAAATGCCAGGTGTTTGGCAGGAAAGACTATTTTAATCAATGATTTTATCACTGAGCACAATCTCGACTTTATGTTTTTAACTGAAACTTGGATTGAACAAAATAACAGTGCAGCTGTTCTTATCGAATCAACACCTCTCAACTTTAGTCTTTTAGTCAGGCATGAATGCATAAGAAAGGGGGTGGAGTTGATATTCTGTTCAATGATTCCATTCAATGCAGGAAGACATCTTCTGAGAACTTTGCTTCTTTTGAATATGTGGCCCTTCAGCTGAAATGCTCCTCTCGAGCTCAGTTCCTAAATATCTATAGACCACCCAAATACTGTGCAAGCTTTTTTGATGACTTTACTGAACTGCTGTCTATAGTGTGTATTGACTTTAACTATGGACTGACTCAGCATGTGAAAGATTCAACGCACAACATCTGGGACGGGTCAGCTTTCTGTCCCCAGAGTCGGAACTAAACATGAAGAAGCAGCGTTCAGTTATTATGATCCATATATCTGGAACATACTCACAGAAACCTGCAGGTCCACTGCAACTATTACTGCTTCTTAAAGTAGTATTTTTGGCTATTTTCAAGCTTTATACTTTGCCAAACTATAGATTTAATCAGGTCGACTTCCAATTTGGTCAGTATCAAAGGTGTGACTGTTTATTTCCTTCCACATGCTTGTTTAGTATATAGTCAGTGAGGTAGCTATGGTTACATTTACATAGCATTTCAATGACAGGGGGAATCTTTTAGTAAACGTGAGCAATATTAATTTTTGGACAACAGGGGGCACCCTTTTAAAAGAAAAAGTGAGTTTGGACATCAGGGCGGACTCCATACTAGTTTGTTATGCAATATTTCTTTTAATTTCCCCTTACTGTGTTTTTCATATATAAATAAATATATAATCAGACAAAGTGAAAAAAAATGAATGTTACTATTATTATTGAGCTATAATTGTAGCTTGTTAACACTTAATTGAAGTAATCTGTCGGACACTTTATGCCAACCCTATGCATTTAGAAAAGGGTCCCCCCTTTTGTGCAGAACTAACCTTTTAAATAAGGGTCCCCCCTGTTGTCCGTAGCTTTTGTTGTCGAGATCTAACTTTTACTATGTTAGAACTAACTGAGTTCGAACTAACTTTTTAGATAAGGGTCCCAGTTGCCCGAAAATCCCTTTTGCTAACTTTAGTTAAACATCCATTTGGCCCTTAAAGTGATCAATAGTGTGTCCTTCAGGAGGACATCCGACTGGCCTTCCTCAACATCTCCAGGATCATAGACTGTGTGGGCTGCTTCAAGTGTCGCCTCAGGGGGAAACTGCAGGCCGGTCATACATTAGTTGTATAAATGATGTTCAGTATAATGTGAGGGCAAAAGGTAAAAGATGCTGTCAAACCATTTAAAGTATTTTATTCTGATTTGCTCCCTTGTCTCACTCCCGTAATCAGACTCAGGGATTAGGAACATCTCTAAGGATTTTGTTTTCCGAGCGGCAAATTGAAGCGCTTCCCACGTCCAACGTCCAGCGACCCAGCTTCCAGCTCAGTCGACAGGAGGTCGTCTCCCTGCTCAACGCCTTTGGAAGGTTGTCGCATTACATTTTCACATGTAATCCTCAGAGTAAACTTGAGTCAATTGAAGTGAGAATATATGCAACCAAATTTAAATGTCTGTTCTTTGTGTAACACAAATGTCCTGCAGGGTTTCTACAAGCATCAGAGAGCTGAAGAACTTCAGGTCGCTGTTAGCAGAGGAGGGATGACACTGTGGAGATCAAGTCTTCTGCCTCAATCCTGCTGAAATGTTTCAAACTTCCAACAGAGTTTAACAAAATTAATTATAAGCCTTCATTATCTGAGTGGCAATGATGGATATTTTACTTTAACAGTAAATAAATACTTTGTTACAAGTCCTGCTGCATTCAAATGTTTACTTTAGTAAAAGAACAAAAGCATTATCAAACTATACTTAGGGTCCAAAAACTTAAGCACATCAGTATGTAGAATGGCCTTTATATTATATAACTTTCTTATATTTATTGTTGAATAAATATGTGCATCAAATTCATTTTGCTGAAATGTGGAGCTACATCTGAGTAATTATACTGCTTGGTAGGTTAATCTGTAACAATACATCATCAATTATTTATTTGAATGGTATTATGTACTAATAATCGAAAACTGCAAATGTAAAAACATTGTAAAATAAGGGTAGTGGAGTAAGAGTATAAAAGTGATTAGAGCCATTTTTGGTTCAGTTGCACAATGTTTCTGTTATGAATATTTTTTCCGAAGGATGGCGCTGTTTGTAAAGCAAACCGATTTTTACTGATAAAAACTAAATTTAATTTCTTGGAAAAGTCTTCATTAAAGATGAAAAGAAGAAATACATGCTTTTTTCCTTTACTTTTTGACACTCCTGGCCGTTTTATTTCAGATGTTGTTTTAAAAAAAAGAAAAAAGGGAAGGTTCTGTCCTGTTGGACGGGTGCAAAAAACGACAGATCCAGACCCGGTCAAAACATCGGGAAAAAATCAGGACAGACAGTGTAAAAATGGTGTAAATAAACAACCGGGCAAAATAAGTGACACATCCAGACCTTTATATATACAGTCTATGATCCAGACCTGTCGGAAAATAAGGACTTTTCTGGACCTTGCTGTAAAAGTTAAAAAACACAACAGATCCATACCTCACCGAAAAAGGGAAAAAACACATTCTCTCCAGACCTGGCAAAACAAGGGGAAAAAGCGACAGTATAGGTCCGGAACTGGCTGAAAAAGTGTATAAAATAATTAAGAGCTCAGTTTGGTCCTGGTTGAGCTAAGGAAAATGCTCAGCCATCTAATGCTTAATATCTAAAATACAGTTAAAAATGGCATTAATTGGTCCTGAGTCATCATGTAGGTAGGCTATGCCTTCCTGATAACATTTCCAAGTGGAAACATGTATAAAAGAATGTAGGACCTAAAACTGAGCCTTGGGGAACACCACAATTCAGTGGATATTTTTTAGATGACCATTCATTCATGTGTATAGAAAACTGTCTATCAGTTAGGTAAGATGTAAGCCAATTAAAAACCATACCAGAAATGCCAACAAGATGGTGCAGTCTACTTAAAATAATTGTATGATCAAAAGCAGCGCTTAAGTCAAGTAATACTAAAACTGAGAGCTTGCTCTTGTCTGCATTGCTTCTGAGGTCATCATAACTAAGGACATAACTGACCATTGTCTGTGGTTAACAGTAGCAATCAACTTAAGTGCCATTTCTGTCCATGTTTTACATTCACACTAACACAGTAACAGTTGGAGAGTGTCAATGTGTAACTATGGAAACAAAGAGTGTGGAGAGGAATATTTTCAACGTTTGTTTAGCTGGTAAATAAATGACAAAAACATCATGTAGGCAAAGATAGAAATGGCTTGTCCCTATTTTCTCAGTTACATTCCACCATAAATAATCAGTAGTGAATTAAGTATAAGTACTAATGCCACTCAAAGAATAGTCAACTAAATGTAACAGTCTTTTTCGTAAAACTGTAATTGGTAATTGTTATCCTGCAACCATGATGTGAGCACTATATATAAAATATGTATGAAATTTAGACATCATCAGTAAGAACATTGAATGTATGTTCCCACAAGCTGGAGTTGTTGAAAGACTCAGCAACGTAAACGGTGACATTATTTCGTAGCTTACTGGGCTCTGGTCAGTGGGAAGCAAACTGGTTCAAAGTTAGTTCAACTTGCGAACCAAAAAAGCACAGAGCATGCACAGAACTCATTTCAGTGCAAGTGGTAACTCTGGACTCTGGATAAATGTGACAGCCTTCCTCACTATTTTGAGTATTTTTTTAAAACTAAACAGTCAATAGAGTGGTGAAGTCCCTCCCTTCCGGTGGACCTCCATGGAACCTTATTTCGGAAAAATTATGTATTGAAGTCAATGGCAGTGTGATATTCTTTTGATATGCGTTAATTATAGAAGATGGCACTTGGCTTGTGGTGCCCAAAAATCATGACCTGGTTACTCAAGTTAACCCACAGACCTTGTTATCATCGGTTTAATTTAGCAACAATTTTTCTTTCAAACAAACTACACCCCACAGTGAGTGGGCAGGGGCCTATGTGCTATAATACAGACAGTGGCTGTAGAGGAAACTTCTGTGTAGCTATGCAGTGGGAGTCACCGACTCAGGAAGGAGACACGGGAAGAGCAGTAGCTTTGATGTCAAACACATGATGGTTTATTTGGAGTTAACGGCCGGAGGATTCACATCACAAGTCCAAGAGTCAGAGGTTCTGACTCCACGGTAGAGTTGCCACGTCAATTCTGGTGAGCCTCTCTCTTGCCAGCCCATCTAACTGGTTTCGCAGAGAGTAAACAACATATTTGAGGAGATAGCCTAAACAGTGTGGGAACACAGAGCTACTTGCCTCGGACACTTATGACCTCGAAGATTTTACCTTGGAGTCCACAAATACAGAGAAGGAAGTGTCCCAGTGTACCCACAACACAGACCATCTGTATCCCAGTATTGACCGGTCACAGAATGGGAACAATAACATTATTGGCTAAGCCGCCTGTGTCCTTAAAGAAGGTAAACAGACATCGAGGTTTGTCCTGTATGTTACTAATTGGCGTCTTATGATAATTATTTCCACAACAGTCCTCTCTTTATATCATTTATGATAACCTAAAAACATTAGTCTAATAATAATTTGGTCAATAATTAACTCAATAGGCGTCTCCAGGTTCGAGTGTGGTCTCACCTTACATCAATTATATCACAAAGTGGAATAAGATTGAAACATTCAATCACAATGATTGATACAGCCAATCATAATAGGAAAAATCATCTCTCATCAGTGTTTGATCATCTTTTGTCAAAAGCATAATAATGAACACACATAAAACACAGGTGCACAATGGCTAAATATTTGTTTTTAAACTAATATATTTGATCATTTACCATTAGTTAATTTCATTCATCAAACTATAAAATCAAAACCAGCTTGCCGCTTTAAAGATTTACTTCAAGGCAATCACTACTCAAAAGCATTTTAAAACTCAGGATCGTAAGAGATCCAGCTACAAATTCACAGTTAGAGTATAGAATTCACACTGGTGATTTGATCAATCTGTAATCTGCAAAAGTGCAGTGTCCTCAATTTTAGGATTACTTTTACGTTTACTTAAATACGCTTTAGTCAAGAGTAAGGCACTTAGTGAAATCAATACATTCATTTTAGTCAAGTACATTGTTCAAAATCTGAAAAGGAAAAGTTAGGCAAATATTCAAAGACTTTTGTAAAAACCTGGAAAGGAAGGATTAAACATTTTTAAACCTTGAATTATTACATTTGTAAATGCTACCACTGATCTGTACCAAATTAAGTCTATCAAGTATTCCTATTAGCCATACTTACCTGAGCTACTTATGGTACTTGGAAAGGATTCTTCTGTGTTTATCTAATGTTGAGAATATCAATTTCTTTAAATTATACTTCTCTAATTTGAGGATCAAATATGCTACATAATTGTTATATGAAATATTATAAATATTTGTTTTGGGCCAAAACTGAAATTAATCCAGTACTTGAAACATCATTGTAGGTCTTTCTATGCATGGATAATACATTAAAGAGTAGTGTTATTAAGCCTGATTGCTGGATTCAAATCCACTAGAGTGCATGTACCTATCCAGAGGGGAGCCAGAACTTGATAGAGCTTGTCGCCGCACAACCAAACGTAATCTTGTGGCGAGCTAAACCCCACATCACTGGGCCAGGCCAGTTGTATTGCTCACGGTTGCGTTGTCGTTTTCCCAGGCGAGCCGTCATCACGAGGTGGGAATGCTCCATGGGGTGTGTGTGTGTATTCCTTCGGTCGATTTTGTGACACGGACAGTCAGACTCCGCACACCGGTGACACAAACGAGGAACCAGAGGGCATATGGAACCGCTCAGCTGGCACTCGCTCGTGATACCTTGTGTGTAGTGTGTTTTAGTGTATGTAGTGCAAGTGTGGTGCAAGTTGGTGATTAGGACACATCACTTGTTGTCATCTACTTTTGTTGGTGATTAGGACACATCACTTGTTGTCATCTACTTTTGTTGGTGACTAGGACCTTGCAGTGGCTGGCGTGGACCCACGTAGCTCTCTCTCTGACCCTTGGCCTTCAGAGCTGTCCTACTGTAGTTATTGGGTTAACACTTGATAGGGATGTTTTCCTGAGTGCAGACAACTCAAAGTAATGGATTAGCACATTATCATTTAAATACAAAAATAGGATAGGCCCCTCAGAATTATTTGGGAGCCTTCCTGAGACATGCACATGCATAAATGTAAGGTTTGTGTTAGTCATTTAACATGCAAGAATCATAAACTCATCAGTCCAAAGTAGAGAAATGTTATTGTAATTTAAAGGTGAGCTAGTCCCTGTGGATATAACCCCTTCTCAATGATTCTAAATGTTATATTAATTCACCATTTACCGTTTGATAACATATTAGTTTATCAGAAATATTTTCCTCTTCCATAAAACAGGTTTGAGAAATAAATGTTCCAATATAAAATCAATTACTCAATATAATTGACTCTTCCCTCCCTTTTCTTACATATGTCTCATATGAAATAATAACTTAGGAGTCTATTTAAGCATGGTGTAATCTATTAATCGAGAAGACTCAGTATCACCTGTGTGCAGCTTACAAAAAAAACAATTGTGAGAAACATATATTATGCAGGAACTGTATACCTTTGTTGAAAAACAAAGCATATCTGATTTGGGAGGAAAAGCTTCTTCCCCTTAACATCTGAGTTATTACTGAAAGCATAGCATAAATGATAGTGGGTGTCTGAGGGTGTTTTTACTGAGAAATGTCAAACACATTCAAAACCTTACATTTGAAAACAGGTTTGCATTCCTCCACTTAAGGTGACGTTATCATTGGAAACAATAAAAGCTAATTGTTTTGATGTAGAATCTATCAATTGAATCGTTAGAGCAGAACAGAATGGTCGTATTGTAGCCTGAGTTCCGTGCAGCCTTCAGTTTCACCAGGTGGAAACATTGTCCATATAATGTGAATACATGTAGAACTAGACATTAAGAGGCCCCTGACATTTAGGCCTATTTTAAAAAATAGTAGGGGCTTTTAACAGCTTGCCAACCTACAGGCATCCTCTGCATAGCAGTATGAATAGCCTTAAAAAAAACAACCCACTCTGCGGTAACGAGAGTCATATTTCTGAACCAAATGCCCTAAGTTAAGCCGTTAGTCCCATCTGACTGACCCAAGGGTTGGTGCTGGTGTGACCGGGAGGCTTCCAGGTGTTCAAAGCTTTCAGTTCATGGCTTGGTGGGGGGAGTGGCCCACGTGAGACAGTATTGTTCAGTTTGAGGAGCGGCATTGTCTCTGGAAGCAGGTAATGGTGTCCATTCTCAGACCAGACCATTAATGTCATTTCATGTAGAGCAGCCATAGCATCTCTGTGACTGCACTCAGCCGGACTGTCAGAACTGGGTGATTCTTAGTGAAGCCGTCCAAGGCCATAGACAGAATGGAACCACGTACCAACAAAAGGGACACAAGGTCATCAATGTCTCTCTTTACCATTGGCCTAATTGCACAACAAATTAGTGGGAAAAATGTGGAGCACTAATCCATCATCATGTGAAATGTTGAGTTAATCTAAATAATTCCTTATGGGTTGATATCAAATTAACATTATAACTAAAGTCAGTCATAATTGGACTTTGCACGGATCCGAATCTAAGCAATACACCATTTTCCCAGCTCTGTAATGAAAAGGATAACAAGATTAGGTACTTTACAGGAGTGTTCCACACCCAAACATGCACACTTATCTTATTCTAGTAGAGATTAGAGGACAAGGTCTAATGTTGTGAACAAAATGACCAAATCAAAGTTATTTTGTTTATTATATGTTATGTACCACATTTAATTGAATAATTAATCTTGAATTACTAATAACTTTAAAGAAGGCAACAATTTACAATTTGGATGAAGTGATTACTCATCCAAAGTGTGTGTGTGTGCTTGTCTGCCCAAGGTTTAAAACATTTGGGACAGCACAGCAGTGAGAATGTTATGAGAACCAATCTGTTGTTTATATTAAACTCGAAGGAAGCTAGACTGGAACATTTTAAATAAATCAAAACACTTGCACATTAATTAAATACATTTCACATTTAGCTCGAGCTGGGTTCAATACTTTTCTTTATGGTATTTAAAATTGGGCTCGAGTAGAACCCCTGGATTTGGCTTGCAACACAAAGTGATACTGAGTCTCTGTAGGACTTGGAAGTGTCATGATTCAAAGTGCCTGTGAAAGAGAGGCCCTTGGAAAACAACATCTATTTTTTAACTGTGATTACTTATTTTAAAGAAATTGCAACATTATACTTTTAAAGAATTGCTCAATTAATTTAACACATTTATTATGCACACAATAAAAACTTCAACAAATATATTGATCCTGGCTGAACCAGCGACCTTTACTCTGTTGTTCATAAGCTCGGTTTCAGAAAACTTGTCAGTAGTTTAACAACTATTTTAATTGTAGTATTGTCTATAGAGACCAATTGGTTGATACTAGAAATAATTTGAAGCAGTTTAATCAAGAATGTTAAACAATTTTTAAAACTGTAATTGAACTTCAACTTATATTAATTCTCTGATTCCAGTGGCCAGTTGGAACAGAATAATTAACACAGTTTCCATTTTGCTGCAACAGCGCAAAAGGTTTCAACAACAATTAGTATTATGTCTGAGTCTAGTTCTGCTTATCTGCTTTGTTTCGGAATGTGTTCAATACATTACGTTTTTATTCATTATTACCATACAATACATAGATTAAGAATAAATGAAACAAATAATACAACATTGACCTAAAACCAGATTTTGCAACTCTGATCTCCTCAGGCAAGTCTCTGAGGGTCTCGGGGCGCAGGATGGGGCATAGGGTTTATACAAGGTCATAAAGATATCTTAACATACCAGCAATACCATTTAAGAATGGATTCTTAAAGCAATATAATCTTATTTTCTTCTTACACCTACAGCGCTCACCCTGAACAGTGTGCTTCTTGTTTACATTTTCCCCTGCACTCAGAGGCAGGACATAAAAACACTTTTTATTTTTCTCAGGTCATTTACTTTTGGTGAGATAATTAAAGTTTAGTTCATTTTACCCTGTCTATGGACTGATTAATTATTAGTTGTTACAAAACATACACAAGACGGCGGGACAAACCAATATAGACCCCCATACAAACAATCAGACAAACAAAACATGAACTCTTAATAAACACCAGCGCGACAGCAAAGCTCATTCAGCTCAATTTAGTCCGGATTTTAGAGATCTTAGAGGGGGTGGGAATTCTCTCCAGTGCGGCGTCTTCTCACGCCTCACCCTTGCATACAAGTGATTTATCGGTGCCTGAAAGCCGTCCAAGAACGATAACTAGCTTATCCTCTTGCGACAACCACTAGGCTATTTGTTTCTAGTGGCGCTGTGCCCCCCCGATCGGAGCCCACAGACTTGTTCCCTGCCCTTTCTCTCCAAACAACAGCTCAGTTGACTGTAGTCCGTACGACCAGCCTATATCCACTCGCCATCGAGTTCACCTCAAGGTGAAACACAGTTTGCCTATGCTTGCTTGCCACTACACACCTCTGATCAATTAGCCTATAATTGTATGTATGCACTCCTGACCGCCACCTGCTCCAGAGAGCCGTAGCGCATCGGGTGATGCACGCACTTCGCGCTGGCCCGTCTAACCATGAGAAAAGCGGTCCTAAACAACGAGTGCTTTTAGACCGTCCCGTTTGAAGGACGGCGGTGCCGTGAGTTAAAACCTATAGGCAATAAGCTGTGACTTTCTCCCTCTCAGCCTGCACTGCTCCAGCCCCACACACACACGTGGAGGTTTTACACACACACGCAAGGCTGCAGCTGGAGCCGTGTTTTTACAGAGAGGTGATAGAAGTAAATATCTCTGGCTGCTTATTTTCAACTGCTATGTTTAGCCACTAAGACCCTCAAAATCCGGCGATTTGTTCAATACAAATCTTTTACATTGCTTTCAATTCACACAGAAGCTCCACTTCACTGATGCCCTTTCTTTAAGGTATCTCTAAACATGAGCTGTGTATGCCTGTATGGCACTTCCGTCCCGAGCAGCACACACAGAGGAAATAAGCCAGGACTGAGTCCCCAGACACTGATCTCCTGGGTTTATCATCCCCAAATGTTCATTAACCAAAAGGAAACGCAGCCGATCAGTTTCACAGGTAATTTTAGGATACCGTCAATCACAGATTCTGATAAGGCAATGTCCAAATGTAGATTTGAAAATCACACTTACCATAATCTGAAGATCTGTTGGCATCCTGCCGACAACGCCAATTTGTAGAGGAAACTTCTGTGTAGCTATGTAGTGGAGTCACCGACTCAGGAAGGAGACACGGGAAGAGCAGTAGCTTTGATGTCAAACACATGATGGTTTATTTGGAGTTAACGGCCGGAGGATTCACATCACAAGTCCAAGAGTCAGAGGTTCTGACTCCACGGTAGAGTTGCCACGTCAATTCTGGAGAGCCTCTCTCTTGCCAGCCCATCTAACTGGTTTCGCAGAGAGTAAACAACATATTTGAGGAGATAGCCTAAACAGTGTGGGAACACAGAGCTACTTGCGTCGGACACTTATGACCTCGAAGATTTTACCTTGGAGTCCACAAATACAGAGAAGGAAGTGTCCCAGTGTACCCACAACACAGACCATCTGTATCCCAGTATTGACCGGTCACAGAATGGGAACAATAACATTATTGGCTAAGCCGCCTGTGTACTTAAAGAAGGTAAACAGACATCGAGGTTTGTCCTGTATGTTACTAATTGGCGTCTTATGATAATTATTTCCACAACAGTGGCCATAGTTTGGCATAAAGATAGTTCCTTACTCAAGTCAAGGTCGGAATCCTCTTGAGGAACTGGGTCAGGATTTCTGTGAATTTCCCCATTTTTTTGTTGTTGCATAAATCCAGTGCCCTCTAGTTCCAATATCCAAGATAAAGGTGTATACCTCCTAAACTCAACACATCTAGATCAATAGCAATTGTGGCAAGCGAAATATGAATTTTTTTATTTAGAGTGAATCGCCCCTTTAATGTTAACAGCTGCTCCTGTTTGAAGCTTTCAATTCGATTTTAAAGCTAGCTTGGGTCAATAACTAATGACAGAAAATCAGAAGCAGTAATTCTAGATGACATTACACGCAATGTTTTGAGTAGATGCATTAAAAATAAAATAAACGTGTTTTTTTAAATGACTAACCCTTCTGTTTGCAGTTGGGTGTGCTATCAGGAGCCCAACTACAGAGGGCCTCACTACATCCTGGAGAAGCGCGACTACAACAACTTCTCCGACTGGGGCAGCCAGAACAGCACCGTGGGCTCCATGCGCAGAGTCCGCTTCACCTGAACACCTGACCCGAGTCCTGCCCACGGGACTCCTTAAGTCAATATGAAACCTGTCAGCTTCTCACACACACTGCAGAACCTATTTGACTAATAAACTGGTTAAAAAAAATAAAAGTTTGCATTTTCCATTGTTTTAAAATAGATTTTATTTTTATTTAAAGGTTTAATAATTTTGAAATGGTTGCAAATAAATAAAAATGTTAGTGGGGATTCACTCAAACACGTTCATACAGAAATATTAGTTACAAAACGAAAACCTGATGGATTAACAAATCCATATGTCAGCCAGCTGTCATTATGAATCACGTACAACAATGAAAATACAACCTCAGCCATTTAAAACCTATTTAGTTTAAAAAAAAAGAAAAAGTAAATACTGTTGTATCCAACATAACACATAAAAAAAAAAGCATGATACAACAGTAATTATCTTAAAGTGTATTTTAAGAAAGCAAAAACACAATACTCATGAGGTAGACTTAAGAAATCAGATGGTCAACACAAACTAGAAAGAACAGTCTTGGTGCACACAACTTCTGATTGGAAGCGATGCATCATCTAAACGCTAGCTTGGAACTGCAGTTCAAGGTGCATTGGAGGAACATCCGATGTACCGTAAAGAGTTTCGTCAAAACATCATCCGTATAAAAAGTAAAAACAGTGGCTAAAATTCTGAACTTTGCTCAAATAAAAACATTTGAAGTGTAGTTTCCACAGATTGCGATCAATATTAAATAAAGTGCAAATGAAACGTCCACTGATGATGTAACAAAGTTCTCAAGGATTGCTGAGCAGAGCGGCCGCCATGGTCTTGACGATGGACGAGTTCAGCTGAGGGATGAGGCTGATCTTCATCAGCTTGCTGCTCGAGTACTTGTTCTTCACAGCCTGCAGAGGAAAAAGGGTTTTATTTTTGCTACAACTCAAAACTTTAATGCTTATACTTGGTTGTTCAACTCACCTGGAACTTTGTCTTCCCCTCGTTGACCATCACTATGTTTTTGGCGATGTGCTGCATGATGGGCTTCAGGTGGGCGGCGTCATAAGTGGAGTAGTGCTGCTGCTGAGGAGACTGAGACAAGACAGACAAATTAACACCAGGAAAATGAAACATTTTAAGTGTAGATGCCCCTCCAATGCCATCACTCACCCAGGGCAGGGCTACCAGCAGCAGCTGGGAGAGCGCCAGAGAAGCAGCAGCGATCTCAGAGGACTGATAGTGCACCATGTTGTAGTCAAGGAGCGTCAACTCCATCAGGTACTTGGCCAGCGTGTGTCTCTCTACATCAGACTGAGGCACAAAACATTAAGCACACTGAGAAGTCTTAAGACACATTGTACACATTCTTGCAGGTGGTTTTAGGAAGACATCCGTCTAGAATGCTGCAGACCTAGCAAATTTGAACAATGACTAAAGTAAAAAGTAGCGTCCCAAACAAATCCACGCAACGACTCACATTTGACACTTTGGAAGCCCGTCTCAGGAAGTGCAGAGGAAGAGGGCGTCCCAGCTCAAAGTTGAGGGCCCTCAGAATCAGCTGCTCCATCACCAGAATCTGAGCCTTTGTGAAGGCGTTGTCTGTGATGTAGGCGAAGTCTCCCACCTCTGGAGCGTACATCTCCTCGTATTTACAGGCCACCAGCATGGCCGTCACACCGACAAGCTGCAGCTTCCTGCGAGAGACCGGCTGGACCTGAAGCACAGCGGCAGACATTTACAAACAACTCACAAAACACAAAGAAAAGACAGTTTAGACCGCTCCTACCTGGAGGAATCGATCCATGACGGCAACTGTGAGGTACAGAGTCTCCTGCAGCAGCTGGAACCTGGAGTGCACCTGGACCAGCCAGTCCACCAGGAGAGCCCGCATGCGCTCAGTGATCTCATAATGCTGCATGTAGTCAGGTCGTACAGCCTGCTCCACCTGTGGAAGCAAACAGATGTAACACTCAACCTTGCAGGGTGGGGGAAGAGAGCATTACTGGAGGGGTGAATACCTCCAGGACGTGCAGGTAGCTGTAGATATCTTTGACATATTCTGAGCAGAGCTGCGGCAGGTCCCCGTCCTCCTCGTCCACATCCTGCACCATGAGCAGCGTATCAGAGAACGCCTGGCACAGCTCCTCCTCCTCCGCCGCCTCCTTCATGGACACATCAGCAGACTCCTCTGAGACTGTGGGGAGGGGGTCTGCAGGAGCCGGGGCCATGGGCAACACCACAGCCATAGCTCAAGGGGCAATGGAGGCTTTCACTGAGGGTTTGAATGAAGCTTTGGCAGGGCCCGTCTTCTAAGGAAACAAGTTTGGAAAGATGCATGTTTAAACATGAACTGCAACAATGATGTGCTGCTTGGTTTTAGCTTTATGAATAGTGTCCACATACTCGTAGCCAAGTAGCTCATGTGTTAGGGGGTTTCTAGTTATTTTTGGCTCACAGGGCTGATACACAACACTTCAAATAGCTACAAAGGAGGCATGAAACATGGAGAGCAGTAGCTGACCCAAACAGTTCTTCCATGATGATGATGCAACTTACCTTGGTGTTGACTGCTGCTGCTTTAAAGTTGGTGATCTCTCCGAGAGCAGCTCTCCTCAGACCCACGACGGCTTTAGCCATCTATATATATATAGACAGCTATGCCATACATTTTTGCATACATTCAGAGTAAATATTTATTCAGTATGATAGCTATCTAACAGAAGTTGTCAAATATGGCGGACCATCTCGCACATGCGCACTGCAGATCGGGCAGGGCTGCAGATCGGGGCTGAAGCATGGGCTGAAGTCAAATAGTCCATTTAGCTTAGGAACCTTCCTAACGGAGTGAAATGACCCGGAAGTCCCTCAGTGGCAGCAATGATAAGTGGTTAGGGTTAGGGTTAGGGCTACCCTAACCCTAGGCCACGCTTTATTAACTCGTGCGCACGCTTTATTAACTTGTGCGCACGAGTTAATAAAGCGTTTACACGAGATACCTTCTCGTGCGAACGCTTTATTAACTCGTGCGCACAAGTTAATAAAGAGAAAGTAAAACGTGGCCACGTTTTATTTATTTTTCTCTCTATGAACTCTCCAGGGCTCCGTACAATTCAAACGAGATCGAAATATACGTTTTCTCTCTCCATTGACTTCAATACATAATTTTTCCGAAATAAGGTCCCATGGACCGGAAGTAGATGGGCGTGACGGGAGGGCGAAGTCCCTCCCCTTCCGGTTGAGCTCCATGGGACTTTTTCCGAAATAAGGTCCCATGAGTCCCACCGGAAGGGGAGGGACTTCACCTCTCTATTGATAACTGGAGAGAAGAATGAGCAGATGAATGCATAGTGCAAATAATCATAATAGTTCAAAAATAAGCTCCACCTCGACCAACTACAGCATACTATATATATAATATATATTCTTCCACTATTTTTCTAAGTGCAGCTGTGTGAAATGTGTCCAGACTGCTGTCGGCTGTATCATCTCGCCTGTTGTGCAGTTGCATGTAAAACCAGTGTTTTTCCTGCAGGACGTTTTTGACTCAGCGCTGCTCTACAGGAATAGCATCAGATCACAAGAGGGAGTAAGTGGGTGAGAAGCAGAGATCATCACTGTTGTGCTGTTTAATATGCATCATGAAAATCTGTCAGAAGATAGTCAGATATTTACAGCTCATATCATGAAGGAAAGCTTATTTCTGTATTTAACAGAATCCCCTCAACATTTATGAATGTCACATGTGAATTATATTTATATTGAAATGGTGTTACTGTTTAAGACTCTTTAAAGCTTGAAACCTGTTTGATTTAAACATAATTGTTTATGTTTTAAATGGGTAGTCTGAATGATTGAATATTCCATTTATATTTCTCTTGAAAAATGAGCCTGTTGTTGCCACTTCAACGCGGTGGCTTTAGGATTTTGTATTTCTCAGTAGAGCTTAATATGAATAATTACAATGATGGAGGGAATGAGGCAGGAAAAATAAATAATAAATAATAATGATTAAATGTGTTGTAGATTAATATTTCTATTTCCAACAGTGTAATACAGTATACCAGTGGCAGCAGCAATGGACCTTGAACGTTATGATCATGAATAATCACTCTAATAATTATTATGTCATGTATTTGAATGTGTGAACGACCTGGTTTTCAAAATGATACCTCGTTTAGTTAATATTACACCATCATGAAATAAAAGCAATCCAGTTTCATTCCTGCAGCAAGTACCTTACATTTCCATTGTCTTGTTTGCGTGTGTGTGTGTGTGTGTGTGTGTGTGTGTGTGTGTGTGTGTGTGTGTGTGTGTGTGTGTGTGTGTGCATGTTATGTGTGTACAGGCAAGGAGTAAGTCCCAGTTGTTATTTCTTCATAAACAAACTGTAAGCCTGAAGCCTGAACCATTGAAGCAAATGTGAGCTCACACATGCACGCACGCATGCACACACGCATGCACACACACACACACACACACACACACACACACACACACACACACACACACACACACACACACACACACACATACACACAAGTCAGATAGGTCGTTCGTTAATCTCGAGGGAATGATTCAGCAGAGTGGCTCTCTTCTCTCCATCTCTTCCTCCTTCTTGACCTTTCCCTTCTATTTTCCAATCAGCACTTGTCTTCTTCTTCTTCTTCTTCTTCTTCTTCTTCTTCTTCTTCTTCTTCTTCTTCTTCTTCTTCTTCTTCTTCTTCTTCTTCTTCTTCTTCTTCTTCTTCTTCTTCTTCTTCTTCTTCTTCTTCTTCTTCTTCTTCTCCTTTGCTCTGATTCCTCTGCTGTATGTTTCCTCAATAGATCTTTTGGTCAGGGTATAATCGCTTGTTACTCAGCTTGTCTGTTTTAAATGGATTCAAAAGTGGAGGTACATTTTTATTTGGATTCCCGTTGGAAATATGTATTAATAAGTTAATGTGTAGTTCATCAATAACAGCTGGTTGAGAATCATGATTGGGTTTTAAAGAGGGAGGCTGAAGAGGCAACTTCAACTTCAATTTATTTTAGTGCACAATCCAGCAGCACCATTCCATTTATTAAAGTAACCGCAGTAATATCACATTGAAATTCACTGACAAATATTTAAGCATTGCATTAACAACACCTACAAATACAAAAGCATCAACATACACATACATGTTGAAAAGTAAAAGTGCTCATTCTACAGTAATAGAATGTCATGCATTTTTCAGCAGGTAAAGGAGGAATTCATTTAAATGTTTTATAGTCAGATCAAAGGTCAAAGGCGTGGTCGCAGCCCTCAGGACTGTCAGTCTGATTAGGATGATCTTTTCAGACCACATCTTCCTTCAAGGTTGTTTGGTTGCCCTGGGGGGTGGTTAACCCTAAAGTCCCATGATGTTGCTGCTTCCCCAAGGACCTTATCATGTGCTCTTGCTTGGGTCAGGGACATTTTGCCCCCTTTGTAAAAGAATTTTTTTTTTGAGAGATGTTTGAAATTAAGAAAAGAAGAGAATGAAACAAGGGATAAGCCCTTTAAGGGCAGCACAAATAAGTAAAGGGATTAGGAATGTAAAATGACTTTGGCTCCGATATATTACATAACTACAAGTTAGTGCAGAAAAATCTGAATCTGTATAGGATGACATCAACACTATTGTATTTGTTTATCCTGACAACATCAATTTGTAGCTTTGTTTTGTAAAGCGCTTTATTCAAAAAGTATATTTTTTCATTATGTAACATTTGTTGTTATTATTGAATCTTGAATCTTTGCTGTTATCCATTCCTGTACAGTGTGAGAGTGATATTGAGCTTTTCAATATTGTCTCATCTGATCTTTGCATCTATTAAAATGAGTAGATGTTTAATAATTGTAATTCTGTTTGGTATGGGGAAAATGTAAACAATCCCAAATGAGGGCTGAAATAATCTTCTAAACACTGTGTCCCTGTTCTAGTTCATCACTGATGACTTTGCTCCATTTTTCTCTGACAGCTTGTGGACATTTCAAACCGTGCCGTCCCAAAAGATCACCTTTATCCCATCATGCATCTCTTCCCTAAAGACAACAGAGTTGCCAAGCGTGGTGGTTCTTGCAGTAAAGTACAGATAATGCTTTGAATGTTCCTCTGGTTTCATGGAATCTATATTATGTGCAAAGTGGAGCGTGTATAATTTGCTGACCTCAGGATATTAGATAATTATATAGTTCTGATTGCAACTAGTGCCTCAAAACATACCCTGGTCGTCTGGCACTAAAGAGCTTTCCTCATTGAAGCATCATCCCATACAAATCACATACACACACACTCCTGATTTTTATTGTCGAATAAAGTCATTTTTAGAGAGCCATAATATTAAAAACTGTAATCGAATAAGCATTCAAATGCATGCATCTGTTGTTCAACTAGATGCAATGTTATGAGAACATTCAACCCAAATCCTTTACTAAAGTTAAAGTATCAATGTAAAACTAGATTAATTAGAAGTCAAAGTTCTTGAAAATCGTGTGGACTTTAAAATACATTTAACAAGCAGTCTGCAGTGCTTTGTTTACAGCAGAATGCACTTGGTTTAAAGACTGTCTGTCAGGCAGGTTGTAAGCTGAGTGGGGCTACTCAGAGGGCAGATAGTCAATAACTGTAAAAGGACACTTGGCCTATATAATCGAATTCCTTTCTAAAGGGTTTCCTCTCTGTCCACGCTTCACAGACTTCCTTCCTTTCTTCTTTCCGTTCTGAGAAACTGGAGACAGTGAGGAACGGCACAAACAAGGCCTGGATTCTGAGTGAAGCCCTCATCAACACGCCATAATGAAATACAGATCATTTAAAAGTCTGGTAGGGACCTGATTTGAGGCTGGGGCTTAATTAAAGACTGTTTGTGCTGAATGTGCGAGTTATCATTTGCCCTGCTGCACTGGTCCCCTGGTGATTCGGCACAAATTGAGAGAGCAGCGCAGAATTCCCAAGGAGCTTGCTTTAATTTCTTCTAGGAGTGATTTCAATGAACCATGTTAACCCCACCACAGCCCCGTCAGGACATTAAGTTGCAATAGAAAGGTTTAAGGTTTCCAAACAAAAGGAGATGAGGATGTGCTGTAGTCTCAGCAGCTGGTTGCTCAGAAACCTGGTGAAGACCAAAGAATATTTCAAAAATGTAAACATGAAACAGAAAAACAAGGACAATATATGTTCTTGTTAGATAGAGGCAGGTTGAGGCAGGAAATAGTATATCAAGGAAACATTACTGTTGAAAGTGATGGAGTCATGGTCAGGGTTACAAGCTTGTCTTCTAT